CAAATAACAAAAATCAGAAATGAAAAGGGAGACATAACAACTGATACCACAGAAATACAAAGAATTATTAGAGACTATTATAAACAACTGTATGACAACAAATATGAAAATCTGGAAGACATGGATAAGTTTCTAGACACCTACAAACTACCAAGAGTGAACCAAGAAGAGATAGAAAACCTGAGCAGACCAATAACAAGCAATGAGATTGAAGCAGCAATCAGCAGCAATCTTCCAACAAAGAAAAGTCCGGGTCTGGATGTCTTTACAGCATCCAACTTTTAAAGAGGAGTTACTACCAGTTCTCCTCAAATTATTCCAGAAAATTGAAATAGAAGCTACTCTCCCAAACCCATTCTATGAGGCCAACATAACTCTGATACCAAAACCAGATAAAGACACAACATAAAAAGAAAATTACAGGCCAATATCTTTGATGAACATAGATGCAAAAATCCTCTACAAAACATTAGCAAACAGAATACAGCAGCATGTTAAAAAAATTATACACTATGATCAAGTGGGATTCATCCCAGGGAAGCAAGGATGGTTCAACATACAAAAGTCAATAAATGTGATACATCACATCAACAAACTCAAGGACAAAGGCCATGTGATTATCTTAATAGAAGATGAAAAAGCATTTGACAAAATTCAACATCACTTCATGTTAAAGACTCTCAACAAATTATGTATAGAAGGAAAGTATCTCAACACAATAAAAGCCATTTATGACAAGTGCATCACCAGTATCATCCTGAATGGAGAAAAACTGAGGGCCTTTTCCTTAAGAACAGGAACAAGACATGGATGCCCACTCTCTCTACTACTATGTAACATAGTACTGGAGGTACTAGCCAGAGCAACCAGGCAAGAGAAAGAAATAAAGGGAATCCAGATTGGAAAAGACAAAGTCAAACTGTCTCTATTTGCAGATGACATGATACTATATATAGAAAAACCTAAAGACTCTATCAAAAATTTCCTAGAGCTGGTTAATAACTTCAGTAATGTTGCAGAATACAGAATAAATGCCCCCAAATCAGTTGCATTTATATACTCAAATATTGAACTAACAGAAAGAGAAATAAAGAAAGTAAGCCCATTTACAAGAGTCATAAAAAAATAAAATACCTAGGGAACAATTTAACCAAGGAGGTGAAAGACCTCTACAATGAGAACTACAAACCACTTCTGAAAGAAATTAAAGAAGACATGAAAAGATGGAAAGATATTCCATGCTCCTGGATTTGGAAGGATTAACATTGTGAAAATGTCTATACTACCCAGAGTGATCTACAGATTCAAGGTAATCCCTATCAAAATGCCAATGACATTCTCCACAGAAATGGAAAAAAAAAATCTTACCTTTCATATGGAACAGAAAAAGACCCTGAATAGCCAAAGCAATCCTGAGCAAAAAAATAAAGCCAGAGGCATAACACTACCTGACTTCAAATTATGCTACAAAGCTATTGTAACCAAAACAGCACAGCACTGGTATAAAAATAGACATTCAGACCAGTGGAGTAGAATTGAGACCCCAGAGATCACCCCTTAGGCTTATAGCTATCTGATATTGGACAAAGGCAACAAAAATCTATATTGGGGAAAAGACTGCCTTTTCAACAAGTGGTGCTGGGAAAACTGGATATCCATATGCAGAAGAATGAAAGTAGACATGCATCTCTTACCACACACTAAAATCAACTCAAAATGAATTAAGGACTTAAGTATAAGACCCTAAACTCTTAAATTACTAACGGAAAATATAGGTGAAACACCCCAGCAAGTAGGTCTGGGCACAAACTTTATGAACAGGAGCCTGAAAGTACAAGAAAAAAATGGAAAAATAAACAAATGGGACTATGTACAACTAAAAAGCTTCTGCACAGCAAAGGAAACAATCAATGGAATGAAATGACAACATACCAAGTGGGAGATAGTTTTTGCTTACTATGCATCTAACAAGGGATTGATACCCATAATATGCAAGGAACTCAAAGAATTAGACAGTAAAAAAACAAATAACCCAATTAAAAAATGGGCAAAAGAGCTGAATAGACATTTTTCAAAAGAAGATATACAAATGACCAACAAGTACATGAAAAAATGCTCAACATTACTAGCCATCAGGGAAATGCAAATTAAAACTACACTGAGATACCACTTCACCTCAGTTAGACTAGCTATAATCAAAAAGATGGTGAATAACAAATGCTGGTGAGGGTGTGGGGAGAAGGGAACACTCCTACATTGTTGGTGGGACTGTAAATTAGTACAACCACATTAGTATAACAGTATGGAGGTTTCCCAAACAACTACAGATAGAACTTCCATACAATCCAGCAATCCCACTTCTATATACCCAGAGGAATGGAAATCATCATGTCGAAGGGATACCTGCACTCCCGTGTTCATCGCAGCTCTGTTTACAATAGCCAAGACATGGAACCAACCTAAATGTCCATCAATGTATGATTGGATAAGGAAACCGTGGTATATATACACCATGGAATACTACTCTGTTCTAAAAAAGAATGAAATACTGCCGTTTGCAACAACATGGATGAGCCTGGAGAAACTTATGTTGAGTGAAATAAGCAAAGCAAAGAAGGATAAATATCACATGTACTTACTCATATGTGGGAGCTAAGAGAGAAATAAGGAAGGAAAGAAAGACCACATTAGTGCGTTGGATTTGCAGAGGGAGAGAACATTCTATGGGCTACAAAGTGGAGTGGGAGGGGGAAGGGGGAGGAGGAGGGAGGTTGGAGATAATTGGGTGGGGGACATGGGGTACGAATGCAATTTGTGGTATTGGGTATATAGCCAGTATGAATCTGGCCCCCAGATCATGGGCACTAGGGGTGACAATCAGCTTTGTATCTCATGAATATTCATATCCAATTTCTTTGCCTTTTTCTCATGTTTCTTTGGACCTGCTTAGATATCTCATTTTTTGTGTGTCTTACTTATCTTGTCAGGTCTCTAACCTTCTCTAAATTGAGGTAGTAAGAAAAGTAGGTATATATTGGTGGTCATGATGGGGTGGGGCAGAAAAATATTTCAGAGGGAACAGGGTAATCTTAAACTCATTTATTTCTGAGCATAAACCTGAGATTTTAGTTAAGGTTGGTCTCAAGCTGCTCATCTGAACAAAGAGAAGTTGTATATAAAATTAACTTAGACATACACAAACTTAAAAGCAATTCAATGAAAACTAGGGAAATAAGACAGGATAGGTTAATTGTGACCAATATTTAAGAGCCTTAAATGCAATATCAAAGAATTTTAGCTCATCTTACTGGCAATTATTAGGCAGTATTAAAGAGCTGATGGCTGCTCTCTACAAATGTGCCATCCAGAGGTACAAAAGGATAGAAAACTGGTAATGGGTGCATGTATCTTTCCTTACTCTTCTCTCCTGAGATATGTATTGTGGACTGCATGTTTGTGTGTCCCCAGAATTCATATGTTGAAGCTTTAACCCCCAATGGGGTTTTACTAGGAAGTGGAGCCTTTGGGAGGTAATTGGGTTGATATAAGGTTGAGATGGTGAGTCCTCATAATGAGATTAGTGTATTTATCACAGGAAAAAGAGACCAGAGCTAGCTCTTTTGGCCATGTGAGGATACAATGAGATAGCCATCAGCACACTAGGAAGCCAGCAACAGCCACACACCGAGCCTGCTAGTGTCTTGATCTTGCACTTCTCAGCCTCCAGAACTACAGTCAATATATGTTGTTTAAGCCAACCAATCTATAGTTATTTTTGTTACAGTGGTCTGAACTGACTAAGACAATACCCCTCCTTCACCATATCCCTGAGACTGCAAACATTTCCCCATTTCAAACCTGTTCCACCTATTCCAATGTTTCGATGCTCAGACCCCATTTTCTCTTTCCCCTTGTCCCATACTAGATATGCACAGGGTCGTGTGTAGGGTCTGCTGCTCCAAACCCTCTTCTGGATGGTCCGTGGAGCAACGCAGATTTGTGGGGAGGGCTGTGGAAAAACTAAAGGGTGCCTGTGGTGCACTCTCCAGACAGGCCTGAACAGCATCTCTGTAGCCAAGATCTTTATGACCTCAGAGTAATATGTCTATTTTCTGAAAACCTCTTTTCATTTGTACTTTGTTTGCTTGTAGTTTAAATTTGTGCATAATGTGGGCTGGAATTTGGGGGGTCTGGGTGTGGGAGGGGGCACAGTTTGTCTCCAGATACCTGCTTGCTATAGCAAGTTTCTAGCTGGAAAACAAGTGAGATCTTGGAGACTGGGGACATACATGCAGGTGAAACCTTGGAAAATGCAGGAAGCCTGTAATTTTTAAATATTTCTGCATCTAGTGGTTTCCATTATGTAGCCTCACACAGTGTCAGATAAATTGAGGAAAAAAGGAAGGAAGAGCACTCTGTCACAGTAACAGCTATGCACTAGGAAGAACAGCTCGGGCTTCATCTCCGCTTTACTGTGAACTGCTTGAAAGGCTTTGAGTAGTTCGTGTTAACTTTTTGCATTTCAGTGTTGTTACCCACAATAAGTTAAGAACACATGATCTACCACAAAAGTACATGACAAAACGTGTATTGTAACCAAATCTTACATAAAAATTTATCTGACACATTAATAAAACATCTAATCATTAATTTCCAAAAAAATGTGATAACGACAGTGACCCCTACCTAACTTTATTTGCTTTTATATCCTTAATGCCTCACAAAGTGACTGGCATATAGTAGGTGATCAATAAATTTATACTGATTAGATTGAATGAATAACTAAATAACCTTTCAAATTCATTCAATGTAATAGTTCAGCTTTATGTCTACCTTCTTACTTAGCAGCCAGTTTCAAGAGAAATTTCATCCGTATTAAGAAAGAACCATTCTTGGACATATGTGGTACAGGAAAGAAAGTTTTTATTTAGATATGGTTTTCAGGCATAGGAAAAGGTGAAGTTGACTAACAAGAGATGGGTCATGATAAGATGAAGGTCTTAGTTGGCAGCGATGGTCTCCTGAATCCAGCTCACATAGTTGCAGACCTTGGTGTAGACACCAGGATTGTTTTTCAGAGCACAGCCATAGCCCCAGGAGACAATGCCCTGGAGCTCTCCATTGCAGGCCACTGGGCCACCAGAGTCACCCTGAGCAAGAAGGAAGAGACAATCAGAGTTCTTGTTTGTGGCCAGCTGGGAGAACAGGCTCTAGTATGTGCCTCTATTATTCTAGGGATATGTTCCCAGGCTGCTGATTCTCCACGAAGCACCTTCCTTTCCCCTGAAAATCCAACCCTCAATCTGCTTACTCTATCCCCATTCATATATTTCCTCTTCCTAGACCCTCCTTTTTCATTAGTAGGGCTACAGGCCAAGAAGAGGTACAGATGGAGAGTTTTAACACTGACCAATTAGCTCTGCTCCATTCACATGGGTTCTTTTCCACAATATACCATCTGAGATGGGCACCAGGATGTGCTGTTTACATACCAGCTTCTGCATATCTTTTTACCCTTAGCCGTAACCATTACTATCACAAAAATAAAAAGTGTAACGTATCCCAAAGCTATCCCTCACCCATCACAATCAGTCCCACAGACAGTTTAACAATCTTCTATGTTTGAGAGAAGGGGAAATATGTTTGAGGAGAGTAAGATTGAGATGGATGGAGAAGGAAACTAACCTGGCAAGAGTCCTTTCCACCCTCCAGGTAGCCCACACAGATCATGTTGCTAGTGATCTCGCCTGGGTAAGCTTTTTGGCAAGAACTGTCAGAGAGGATGGGAGCTTCCAGACACTGAAGGAGGTCAGGGTAGTTAGCTGTTGAGTGTGAGAGTGAAAATAGAATATTACCCACGGAGGTCCTGAAAATGTCTTTCCCTACATCTCTCTCTGCTTTCCCTTTTTTTTCTCTCAATTTACCAAAGACTTTTAGTTTGAAAGAAGAACATTTTTCTGGAAGGTTTTCCAAATAGTTCTAATCACACAAATTGTTCTTTCTCTGACAGTAGATCAGTGAAGACAAATCCTACATCCAGAGACTTTACTTCTCAAGCAGGTGTGTATTTCAGACATTGCATCCCTTAGCCTAGGTTCTGTTTACCTCCTCAGCTTCTAGTTTTCTGCACAGCATAAATCACATTTCAGCTAAATACCTTGACATCTTTATGATAGTTCATTGTTGTTGTGTCTTCTGCACAGTTCCAGCAAAGGAATCTTTCTCATTTTAATTAATATGTTCTAAGATTCCATATGTCCAAAAACTATCTTCTGGGAATCTTCTTTGAGAACTTGTACTAACTGACCCTCGACATGACTTTCACCTCTATTATTCTCAGACTTGGTACTTCTGTTCCGGGTGATACTTACTGCCGCTGCTCAGGGTGTTGCCCCAGCCAGTGATGAGGCACTCAGTTCCAGAAGATGCACAGGATGATGGCAGAGAGATCGTGGACACTGCAGAGTTGAGGGTGGCAGCCGAGCTCAGTTTAATCAGCATGATGTCGTTATCAAGGGTGTTTGAATTGAATTTGGGGTGTTTGATGACCTTGGCTGAATTAATGAATTGCTCAGTGCCTTCCTGGACAGCAATATTGTGTTCTCCCAAACGCACCTGGATTTTGCTGGAATAAATAATTAGAAGTTGCCTAAGTATGCAATTTAAGCTTTTCTGCTTCCCTGACCCCCATGGCATGAGTATAAACACAGATACCATCCTCTTCAAGCATTCACTCACACAGGTAATTGTGCACTTATGATAGCATTGTGCACACCAGGCATGGTGCAGGTTACAATATTCCTTAGGGAAGTATCACTACAAGTTCAGACTCACAGCTCATCATCTTCTTAGAATAGCGAAGAATAGGAATGGAAACTTAATGACCCCAATAAAACAGTTGGAGATAAGAAGGGAAGTGGTGGAAACTGATCAGTATCTACCATTTCTCTTCTGGTTGGGACCACTGATTATCACAGGGAGATGAGGCTGGAGTCAGAGATACAGCAGAATATAATGGGGGCAGAATGAGTCGTGCTTATTTTAATGTTGTACTGAATTTTTTATTATTTTATTACCTCCATAGGCCATTTTTTTTTCTGTTTGAGCTGTAATGATTAGAACTATTACTGATTGATGTTCTTAATCTATCTTTAAGAATAGGGAGATACTTCATTATTCACTGTTTCCATCTTGTGTTTTTAGTACCATCATTTTGGAAAGACATCAGGGAACTCCATGCGAAAGTTCCTCGGTGCATTGGACAATGCTCGCGGGAATAATAAGGGTCGCAGGATCTGCGTGCTTCACCCCTCAAGCATAACTCTGTAGTTTACCCCTATCGTGCTTTGGCTGGACTCAGAAATATGTTGGCCTTCGAGCATAGGACTATCAGCTCTGGTCACTTACGACTTGTAGCAGTGAGCTGCGGACACAACCCACTGGGCATCGATGAGGGAGCCACCGCAGAAGTGGGAGGAGCTAGAGCACAGGGAGGCCTGGTAGGGGACAGAATTCTTTGTACAGGTGTAGCCCCCGACGATCTTGTCATCATCATCACTAATAGGGAGAGCAACTGACAGGAAAAAGACGGGAATTATTTATGATACAGGTCCTTCCTGGAATTCCTACTCTACTGTGAAGTTCTTGCACATTAACCAGAACAGAGCAGAGAAGGACCTTCTCTTGTGTCACATAATCAGGAAAAGGTGGTTTTCAGATTTTTTAAAAAATTTATTATTCCTTACCTTTAACAAATACCCTGCTTATATCACAATAAGTGACCAACCTTTAGATTATGCTTTAAATTTGATAAATATAAGTCTACATTAGTATGCACTATTTACAGACACATGCACACATGCACACATACACAAACACACACACAAACAATCTCACAATGATCAGAGGCTTTTTATATGACAAATGCCCTGAACACCTCTACCTGAGAATATAAAGAATATTTTTTACACAAAACCCTGTTCAACAGCCATGCAAATAAGTATAAAGCTTGGCAGTAATCATACTGGTGTTTGCTTGTAGTGGTTGATGGGGCACTGATATGAGAAAGATATCCCTATAATGTAACAGAAAAGAAGCTTTAGGAATCCACCTGAGAATGTCCTGGCCTGGAAGGAAATGAGATTTTTGCTCTTTTGCTCCACCAATTTCTGTCCTTGGTTTTAGCCTAAAACTTTTATTGAATCATTTTACAGAACATTGTGAGATTTCTCTCCTCAACCTTTCCCCTATCTCAATTATCTTTCAAATATTTATCAATTTATTTAACATCGTGAAGTCTAGCCCACTGATTTATCAAGACTTCTTACAGCTCCAGAAGTCTTTAATTATATTATACGATTCCTACTGTTCGAATATTTTAAACTAATGTTAGAAAAGAGGTCTCTAGTGCATACACAGATGTACTGATTTTAAACCTGGCCAAATTTGGGGAAATTTATTATTAAGTTTTAGTAATATAAAATTTAGTAGGATAAAAACAGAAATAGTCATTTTTTCCCATAATTGAATGGCATACTGCTTTTCGCTAGAGAGATTTCATTTGCAAAGATGTCGTAAAACACAGCCCAATAGAATATCTTTACCTGTTAACACCCACTGGTTCTAAGTAACTAGAACTTCAGGGTAGATGAGACTCAGGCTCTGACACACACAGCCTCTTCAAGGACCACAAGATTTCAGTAGTTTAATTATTAATTCTAAATTCTTAGAAAGGTTGAGACAAGCACTTTCTACATGAACTATATTTTAATTTTCTCTTTTTCTTCATAAATTTTACCTGGAAGTTCAGAGCAAGTTCTGCTTCTTTCTGTGTTCTACTCAGCTCAGTCCTGCTCACTGTGATCGTCCTCCAACAAGTGAGACTTAACTATCTATAAACATACATACTATACACCATTGTGTCAACATTTTTAGCTCCTCGAATAGAAGACCATATTTAATATTCACTATTGCCTTCCAGAGAACAAAGTGCAAATTTAAATATGTGATAGACACCTGCTGATCTGCTCATTCAAAGAAACTCACCAGCAGCTCCCAGGAAAGCAAGAAAGATGAAGGTCTTCATGGTTGCTCACTGGATGTCGAGTGGGGTGTAGGATGAAGGGTTTTCATCCACAGCTATTTATACCTCCAGATCTGTCACTGACACCCATGGCCACAGGTGCCAGAAAAGTGATCTCACTGGAAAGTCACAAATCTAAATTTAGAATTCAATTCTGTAACAGATGGAAGATAATGCAGCATTTAAACATCAACATTTGTCTACTTTTCCAGAAGGTTATGGGAATGGAAGCAGTAAGTCACCTGGTGGGAACTGTTCGTTATAATAGCAAAGAAAGTTGGAGTCAGGTCACAGGGTAGAGATACAGGTGTCTGATTCTCAGACAAAAATCTTAGGTACTTAGTTGTGTCAACTGTGAACTTTTATCCTAAGAACAAGTTGAATCCTTCTCCCTTGATGTTTAATTAACATTTTCTTTTTCACAATTATATACTTTGTCTTGTAATAGCTTTGGTCATGTATATCCATGTTAACTTTTCATTATTAGTGGAAACAGCTTGTTCCCTTGAGCTAAAAACTTACATTTATCTAGAGCTTCTTATATGCTGGGGATAATCTAAGTACTTTGCCCATATTAACTTAGTAATCCTCATAATAATCACACAAGACACCTATTACAATCCCCACTTTATAGATGGGAAAACTAAGGCCCACAAAAGTGCAGGGAATTTGAGCAAAATCACACCACAAGTATGTGGTGTAATCAGGATTGCAATCCAGAAAATCTGGTTTCAGAGTCTGTGCTCTTCCCCAGTCTGTTAACCAAGATTACAGAATCTTGGCCAGTGATAACACAACCTAAATCTATAGAGTGCTTAATATGTGTCAGTGTCACGGAAGGGACTTATGCATCAGCTCATCTGGTCCTCACAAATTGCCTGGTAAGTGTTGTGCTATAATTTTCACCATTTAAGAGATGGGAAGAGAGAGGCTTAGAGAAGTCAAAGTTTCATAGCTATTTGGTGGTCAGTTCAAGGCTCAAACTGAAGCAACCTCACTTCAGGGTTCATGTCCTCAACTGTGAGCCTTCTCATCATGTTCAGTTCTCTCCCATTGCTGACACCTCTACCTGCGAGGTGGTAGAGGTGGTATGATTCTACATCACCCCTGAAATTTTCCCAGAAATTCATCAGAGACCTTGGACTGTATGAAAAACTAATCTTAAAGTGGAGCTCTTCATAATAATTGGTTGATGTCCTGCTGTGTCCTGGAGAGACATCATATAAAAAGATATAAAAAGGGAGAACAGTCTGAATTCTAACAAAATAAGGGCTAACTCTAAGGAGTATATGGAATTCTGAAGAATCCAAGAAATGTGTTCCTGGAGCAGGAATTGTCAGAATTAATGGAGCATAACAGAAATACCCCAAATGAATGAATTCTATTGAGAAGGAACTTCTAGCTGGATGTAGCCAGATTCTACACTACACTTAAATCTGAAATTAAATCCTATCAGGTTATTATTTATGCTTAAATAGATATTCACTCCTAGGTAGTTTCTGTTTCTTTCACATTTGAAATTTTGCTTCTATCAAGATGACTTACTTGAAGGCAGAGTTTCTTAACCTTGGAACTGTTGAAGTTTTGAGCCAAATAATTCTTTGCTGTGGTGAACTGTCCTGTGCACTGAAGGATGTTTATCAGCATTTCTGTCCTCTAGAAGAAAATAGCAACATGCCCCCCCTCACCCCATGGCAACCAAAAATGTCTGCAGACATTGCTAAATGTCCCCTGGCAGGCAAAATCACCCCCAGTTGGGAACCACAGCTCAAAGGGGAAAGAAGGACAAAGAGCTTTGTTTCTAAGGCTGTATAGCCATAAGAATGTGCCTTGAACTTTGGGACAATATAGGCAATCCATAACTACTGAACGAATGGCACACAAGGCAGGGAGCTATCATTAACTGATCTCTAATAATCAGGAAATATTAAGGAATAAGGGGAGGGGCAGTGACCAGAATGAGGAAGGGGGAGTTTTCTTATCCTGTTCAGTTCTCTCCCATTGCTGACACCTGCACCTATGAGGTGGTAGAGGTGGTATGATTCTATATCACCCCTGACATTTTCCCAGAAATTCATCAGAGACCTTGGACTGTATGAAAAACTAATCTTAAAGTGGAGCTCTTCATAATAATTGGTTGATGTCCTGCTATGTCCTGGAGAGCTGTCTCTGATATGCTCTGGGCTTTATTACACTGATTCCTTCTTGTAGGAGGGAAAAAGCAAGGATTGCCAGACAGGGGGTGGGGGAACAGTTATCTAGGATTAATTACAACTTACCCTGACCCCCCAAAAAAAAACTTGTGACAAAGGAACATGTTCCTGTGTGGCTGGTGTGATGGTTCTTCAGTCACCTAAAACAGTAGTGGACCAAGGGATGGTTTCCAGATATCAGTTATTTCCATTCCACTCTCACATTTTTTAAAAATGCAAACTATTTAGCATGGTGCCTGAGACATCATTACATTTCGATATTTAAATAGACTTCTTTTTCTTATCATATGGTGGCAACTTTTTATTTAATGTACATTGAAATGACCATGTGCTTTCTGAATAAAAATACTCGTCAGAATACTATCTAAAATCATGGTGAAGACTAGTAGTGATGTGCCTACCATGCTTTGGGAAAAATGATACTAGGCAGACATCTGGAAAAATGAGGTTGGGAAAAACTAAGGACCACTAATGGTGGTGGCTGTGAGTGGAAAGGTTGTGGAGCTGAAAAGATCATCATGTCAAGTGTGAATAGGAGGATGCTTCCTGTTGAAGAGTCCAAGAGAACTCAGGATCAGTAGGAGGGGTCTCTACATATGTGTATGTATGTTTGTCATTTATGTAAGGTGGGTGAACAAATATGAAAAAGATACCCCCACATTATCATGTGGGAGCTTAGACTTATAAGATACCCTGTATTTCTGAGATACTGTGAATCATTCTGTGAAGTCTGACACCAGAGAAATGGGTTGGAAGTTCTCAGACTCAATTCTTACCTGCACTTTATGTGTGCAAAATTCTGTTCCCAATGACATCAATGAATTTTCATTTATGATCAACACTGAACATGCCAGGCACAGTATCTGAGGGCCTCCTTCCTCAGTTCTCTCCCGTAACAAGAGCCATGAACTATGTGGGATGCCCATTTCCTTTTGGCCAGAAGAATGGGTTGGTACCTATACTTCTTTTCCTAACTTCAAACACATGGTAGCCCAGAGGCACGTGTCTATAATTAATCTGTATTTGTAATCTCTCTTTTTCACCCACATGGCTTAGTGACCTTGAAAGACTATTTAAACATGTATCTAATTTGGCATCTGATTGGGCTCCAGCAAACATATTGATATTTGTATTGGCAAGAACAAAAGGCACCAGCCTCTAAAGGCAATTTATGCTCTTTTCCTCCACGGACTCTGTTTTTCTTTTTCTTTAGTTTCTTCAGCCACTTTCCTGGCTAATACATCACTAGTCACTAGGGCTGTGCTGGCTTTTAACCACTCCAGTTTGTAGGGAAAATTTTAAATAAAACTTTTCTTGAAAAATACATGAACTAAGAAATATGAAAAAAATAATGTAAGCAATCAGGGCAACAAAAGTACAAAAAGGAACATGGTACAAAATACGTGTTTGTGAAATAATCTTGATGCTCATCTGAGAGTGTATGCTGAGCTGAATTTGTAATCTTTGCTACATGTAGAAAATAGTGTTAGAGAATAGCATCTTTTTTCGTAGGAAACTGAATCCTAGAACCAGAACTAAGTTTCCTTGAGAATCCTACTCAAGGATGGCATTAGTTTGGGGGCATTTTCTACTTTAGCTCCATGTGATTCCCTCCATATGACTCTGCTGTCATATCATGAAAGCAGTCATAAACAATATGTAAATGAATGAGTGTGGCTGTGTTCTAATAAAACTTTATTTACAAAAATAGGCTGCAGGTCAGAATTTTCCCCAGGCCCTAGTTTGTCAACCCTGCTTTAGAAGGTAGGAAAGAAACTATTTAAACACCTATATCCACCTTAAAATTAAATGGTGGTTCAGTTTCAATGATCAGGGATAGCTTGAAATAAAATTAGTAATCTTAGAAATATTTCACTGTTAACTTTAATTAATGCTTCAGGGAGAAAGAAAGAAGTAGAGGATTGGGACTTTAGGGCTGGGAGATGGGAGTGACACAGCACAGTGCAGGAAAAAAGGAGAGCTTGACAGAGGCTGAATGTGCATCAAGTATGGGGAAAGAACATTTAGATTTGGTGACCAAAGTTCTAGACTTTATTCTGTCACTAGGTATTTTTTTTTTTGTCCCTGGACATTTATCTTCATATATAAAATGAATACCCACAAAGAATAGTGAGCAAATAGGACAATTTAACACAATCTTTGATTCCCATAACAGAGTTTTATTAAGGTGCCAACATAACTTACTTATATCTCTGTTGGAATTTGCTTCACATTCCTCTGTCTTCCAGTTTGTGCAGATCCTACCTTTATCCCACAAGATTAGATGGCAAGTTAAGTTTTATCATAGAAGCAGACAGCTGTGTATACCTGAAACCCACAGCTGTCAAATGCCACCATGAATAATTTGTAAATTTGCCACTTCTGAATATGACAGGCTAGTGAGGCACCCTACAGGACTTTAAGAAAATGGTGTTAGAAAGAGAAACAGAGAGATGGAGGTTGAAGTGAAGCTTAAGGTTAAAATAAAGCATCATAATTAGAAAATGATCAGAAATAGGACAAGAATGCATAATATACACTTCAGATTAATATTTATTTATTTACTTACTTTTGGTTATACATATTTACAGAGTTGACTATCAGTATTTGTGTACAGTATGTGATGATCAAATCAGTATGATTAGCATGTTCATCATTACAAATAGTAATTACTCTTTATTTCCCTTTCCCCATTACTTGCTGAATCCCTGACAGTTCTTATATAACTTAATAATTTAAGCCAATTCTAAGCTTGGTTCTGGAGCACTGTGATGGGGTTCCCAAGTTGACTCCCATGTTTGGCGATCCAGTAGAATTATTCATGGATACAGACAGAGTTGTACTCAAGGCCAAGGTTTATTAAAGTGACGCAGTAAGTACTCAGCAGAGATCATGGGTAAACACACAGGTGGAATCTGGAGGAATCCACAGGCAGGCCCCCTTATGCTTTCTTCTTCCCAGGAGGGGCCACACAGAGCTGACTCCTCTCCAGCAGCAAAACAGCACCACATATGTGCAGTGTTCTGCCAAGGGAGCCCATTAGAAACCTAGCACCCAAGAAGTTTTATCAGGGGCAGGTCACATAGGCACTGCTGCCTAGCACCTACCAGAAAGCCAGGCCCCAGAAGGAAATCCAGTGTTCACCACAACATTGTTTATACCAATAGTTGAGGCACAATGAGCCACACTTCTCTGGTAGGAAAAGTTTTATATCAGTTCGGGACTGTTCCTAGTCATGTTTCCAGATGCCAGCCAAAAGCCAATCTTGCAAACAGGACCTTCTAAGCACTGCAGTCTCAAGCCTGCTGTGTCAGTTCTATTCTGCACAGTCATCCTTCGACTCTCATTTGCCACTTGATGGACCTGGAAGCTACATGATACAGTGGCTTAGTTATAATATGGAAGTAGCCTGACTCACTGGGTCATCATCTGGTGGACAACCACTGAAGAAAACTGCTCATGCTATGCTGGGCTTTGTGATCACGGCAAGTGAGATTTCACAGAGCTGAGCCACTGAGATAGTGGAATTTGTTTTGTTTTGTTTTCTGTAGCAGAGCTGTCCTTATCTAACAAATTAGTGCCTAGAATGAGTAAAAAACTCTCATTACTTAATAAAAAAAGGCAACCCAACAAAATGGCAATACTTAATCTAAATGAGTAATTCATAGAAGAGTAAACATGAGTTACCCCTGCCCATGAGAATAGGTTCTCAACTGTACTTAGAATCAAAGTATTGCAAAATAAAACAGTGAGTTATGACTTCAAACTTCCCAGACTGGAAAATTTGCAGAAGAGTGACAGTCCTAAATGTGAGTAGAGATATGGACTAGTTGTTGCTTTGCCTCACATTGGGTGATGGAGATGCAAAAAGGATTACTCAAAGCTCATTTCTTCTGAGCAGTGAGAGACCCTTAAGGGATTAATTTCCTGGAACCCTCAAGAGAGAGGCATTCCTTCCTTGGGAAATTAACCACAACTGAGGTTCTCTCCCTGTGTTTATTCTCCAGGAAGTTACAGAAAAGGAACATAAGTGGAGTTATGGCTAAGTATAGTTCGACAATAGAAGCTGGTAACATCAGTGAAATAACAAAGTGACATTCCATAATGGAATTTGCAAAAGGTTAAGTCAATCCACCAACAAAAGCTTGATCTTAGCAAACATTTTCTTTCCCTACATCAGTTTCCTTAGTATGTTTACATAACAATCAAGTAACTTGTCTGTCCTTGAGCCGGCAACTTTGCTGTGTTACAATTCTTCTTCTATATTAGAGACTTTAGCCTGGGGAAAGTTTCCTGTCTTTTGCAAGGTTAACATTTCTATACATAATTTTAAAAAGCTAGGCTAAACCTGAAACTACAGGGTTTTGGAAACTAGGCCCTGTGAAATATATTTGCTTTATAAATGTTAGTATACTCCACACTAGTGGAAACTGTCTTAACAGTACAAAAGAAAATTACAACTATATTAGAAAATCATTTGTTGAATATGTTGTGACAAACACTATTTTGGGATAAATTACAAACCTATGAGGATACTTGAAAAAGTTTATAGAAAAATAGAGTTAAAAGATAATACAAATCCTTCCATGATCTTTTTGAAGACCTCATTTTAAGTAATCTGGGTTTTTAAATCATCTTTTGGTTTTATCATGAATAACTCAGTTGCCAATATTTATTTTTGCCATTTGGAAGATAGTCAACCTTTAAAACTTTTAAAAATTTTAAACTTTAAAAAATTTGTCACTTTATTTTTGAGTGTGCAATTCAGAGGAATTAAATACATTCACAGTGTTGTGGAGACATCACCACTATCTATTTTTAGAACGCTTTTTGTCACCTCAAACAGAAACTCTGTACCCATTAAGCAGTTACTCCTGATTCCCTCTCCTCTTCAGCCCTTGGTAACCTCTAATCTACCTTCTGTGTTTATGAATTTGCCTATTTTAGGTAGTTTATATATGTGAAATTATACAATGTTTTTTTCTTTTTGTTTCACTTTGCATAAAGTTTCATCCATATTGTAGCAAGTATCAGAATTTCACTCCTTTATATGACTTAATAATATTCCATTGTATGTGTACACAATGCTTTATAATGCATTTGTTGATGGACATTTGGGTAGCTTCCACCTTTTGACTGTTTGAAATAATGCTTCAATGAATGCTGACCTGGCGGTATCTGTCTGATTTTCTGTTTTCAATTTTTGAGGGTATATACTTAGGAATGAGATTACTAGGTCATATGGTAATTCTATGTTCATCTTTTTGAGTAATTGCCAAACTGTCTTTTGCAGCAGCAATACCATTTTATATATCCACCAGCAATGTACAAAGGTTGCAGTTTCTCCACAACCTTGCAATCAATTAATTTCTGTTTTTTTCTTTTGATGATGATGATGATGATGATGATGATGATGATGGTAATGATGATGACTTTTATAGCAGATCTAGTAAGTGTGAAGTTATATCTCATTGTCTTAATTTGCATTTCTCTAATGACTAATGGTGTTAAGCATTTTTTTTATCTTTTATTTTTAATTTTTGAAATAAATTTAATTATGTTTATTTAAGGTATATGACAATGTCATGAAATACATACATATAGCAAAATGGTTATTATAGTGAAACAAATTGACATATCAATTATCTTACATAGTTGCCCATTTTTTTCCTACTGTGTCAAACAGCTGATACAATCTACTCAAGATATGATTAACTATAGTCATCATGCTATTCATTAGATCTTTAGGCTTGTTCATCCTACATATCTGTGACTTTATATCCTTTGATGACCTACATCTCCCTATCCTCCAATCGCCCCACCCCTGCCCCTGGTAATGACTGTTTTATTCTCTATCTCTGTGTATTATACTTTTTTTTCCCATATACAAGTGAAATCCTGCAACATTTTTCTTTCCATGTCATTATTTTATTTAGCATAACATCCTCTAGTTTAATCCATGTTATGGAAAATGGCAAGATCTCATTCTTTTTTTAGGACTGAATAGTATTTTATTGTATATATACACACAATAAAATATATAATAAATATATATTAATATTATATAAGTATATATAATATTTTTTAATACATAGTAATATATATCACAGTTTCTTTATCCATTAATATATAAAATATCATGTATTTTATAATATTTTGTGATAAATAATAATATATATATTACAGTTTCTCTATCCATTCATCCACTGATGGTGGACACTTAGGTCGTTTCCATATCTTGGCTATTGTGAATAATGTTGCAATGACCATGGGATATTTATATCTGTACGAGGTGGCAATTTTGCCTTTTGTGTATATTCTTAGAAGAGGGATACCAAGGAGTGATTATACTTACTAGCTACAAAGGATGAATGATTCCTTCACAATGGAGAGATTTGGTGTCCATTGCATCAAATTTAGCATCACCAAAAATGTGTAAAGACGACAGTACATATTGTTGTAATTGACCAGAGGCATTGGGAATTATATGTCATCTATGGAGTATATTTGTCAAAATACTTAACCTCTAATAATGTGGGAATTCTAATGTGGGTCATGTTACCAGTCAACTGGCATGGACTCTTCTACACATCAAGGTCCTAAAACAGAAAGGAAAACAAATGGGTGGAGGTGATGTCTTGTCATAAGCAACTAAAGAGACCTGACAACAAAATACATTACATAGTCTTTGATTTGTCCTGGAAGGAAAAATTAAAACCTATGAAGAGCACTTAGGGACAATTGGAGAAAGCTGGATGATAATAATATTACATGAACACTAAATTTTTGAGTGTAATAATGACATTTGTGATTATATAAAGAACGCCTGTTTTTGGGGGGAGAGATACATGGAATTATGAAGGACAAAATGTCTCAGAAGTTAAGGGTAAAATACACTGAAAGAAATCAAGAAAATGTTAACAATTTGTATACAGATTTATATTTTAATATTGTGCTAGTTTTAATATCCTTTTAACTTCTCCAGAGGTGTCATTTTTGAAATAAAATGTTGAAGAAATAATCTTAAGATCCCCCAAATTGGCATGATTTCAGTCTGATGATGGATATTTATTATTTCATATCTAAAACCTTTGAAATTTCCTATAACTACCACAATAAATGCAGAAGACAAGGTCTCTTTGAGCCCTAGAGTGTGTTTTTTTACGTAAAAGACAGGCTATAGTTGGGAAAAAGTCCAAAAAGAAGAAAAGGGAGTTTGTAGTTTGATAAGACAGCTCTACATCTCCGAGATGAGCACTAAGCTTTGCTGGCAATGCATGTCAAGAGGACTTCTAGTGAATTCTCAGGACCGTTTCTTCTGAGGCAAGAGATTCTGAGCATCCTGCAGGTTGGTCAGCAACTCACAAACTTAGGGAAGCTGATTGAACGTAAAAAAGAAGAGTAGTGGCTTCTGAACCCCTGTCAAGGTATCACTGGCAACTGGTGCAAAAGGTGCCTATATTCTGAGTGCCTGAGGAAATTCAGGTTTATCTGAATTCTTCCTCATAGCCAAATACCACTCCTCGTTTCCTGTTTTTTTTTGGTCATTCTGTGGCCCTCACTTTCAAGACGAAAACAGTGCAGACTGCAAGTCAATTCTTTCTGAATGCACATCAGGAGACATCATGTGTCTCTATTTATATGGTCTTAGTATGTTCCTTCTCTTTCCAGATCCTCTCTGGAAAACCAATTGCCTTACTTGTTTGTTGTTTTTTGACACCTGTTTTTCTTTCCGGTTGTACCACACTCCTTCTTTTTATAAGCTATCCTTACATAATAACTTTGTGACTGTCCCGGGGAGATAGATAATAAATAGCAGGTTGAATCCCCCATATTTTAGACAGTAGATTGTACAAATGCAAACTTGAAAACCTGAACTAGCCTTTGTCAGAGTTATTAAAGAGCTGGTCAGTTATAAAAGACAAGAATGACATCCCTGTATTTGTAAAAACTATATACAAACTTGGTTCTTCTAAAATCTAATTGTTACTTTAATGCATGTGATCTGGATGTTTCTAAGTCCTCTAATCTTTTGGGAATTCCATTTCTTTAGTGTCTACAGTTTTAAAATATTAATAATAATAATAAAGTCAGCATTTATTGAGTTTTTACCGTGTGTGAAACATTGTGTTATATGCCCTATGTGTGTGACCTAATTCATCTTTTATAACAGACCTATAAATGAAATACTATTATTATCCACTTTCTACAGATATGAAAGCTGAGGGCTCTGTAAGATGAAAAATCTCGGTCACAATCACACAGCTTAAGCACGTGAATCACGATCCTTCCCAAAGATTTATGTGGTAGGACTAGGGCTTCTTTCTACTAGTTTCTCTAGTTGTCTCCAGTGTGCCTTGTCCCCCACATGGAAACAGCTGTCTCCACTTCATTTCTCAATTCACCACTGACCCAGCACTGGGGTGGGTTTTCCACTTTAACTGAAGATTTGGAGATATTAAGGGGAATGTTGGCCCAGACCTGAAAACATCCTTAAATAGAATATCAGAAATCACTTTGTGAATGTTTATTCAGATGCAAGAGGCACCAGCCTCTAAAGGTAATTTTATACACTTTTCCTCCATGGACTCTGTTTTTATTGTTCCTTAGCTTCTCCAGCCACTTTTCTGGCTAATACACCACTAGTCACTGGGGCTGTGCTGACTTTTAACCCCTCCAGTCCATAGGGGAAATTTTCAATAAAACTCCTTTCCTTGAAAAAATATGTACTGAGAAACACTTAAAAAATGAACATTAATTTCCTAGTACATTCCTATCAGAGCTCTTGGGTGACTAGGTGCATTGCCAATAAGCAGAAATATTCTGAAAATAATATTTTTTTTTCTTTTCTGAGTAGTAAGTCTCAACAGTGGGCTTTAAATATTCGGTAAACTCTGTTGTAAAGATGTATGATGTCATCTATGCTTTGCTGTCTCTTTTATAGAGCATAGGCAGAGTAGATTTAGCATAATTCTCTTAGAACTGCTGGCTTTAATAAAATCATGGAAAAGAACAGTTTACCCTGGAGACAATGGTGCAGGGAAAGAGATCTGGACAGCCTTCTGTCTGCAGGGGCCAGTCACAGGGTCACAGAGAGGTGACAAAATGTAGCTCCCAGGTGTTATCCAATTTCTGGCCATGCAACACTTTATTGGTACCGACAGACCCCAGGGCATGGCCCAGAGTTTTTGATTTACTTCCAAGGCAGGGACACAGCAGACAAAGCAGGAATGCCTGGTGACTGCTTCTCTGCTGAGAGGCTGGATGGCTCATTCTCTACTCTGAAGATCCAGCCCACAGAGCAGGGGGACTCAGCTGTGTATCTCTGTGCCAGCAGCTCAGCTACAGTGTGGCACAGTCCCCTCCTCTCTGCCCACAAACCCTCACAGGCTCAGTTGTCCTCACAGTGCTCAGAAGCCCTGCTCTTCCCTCATCAAGGGGGACAAATGCATTTGGGGCATCAGGTGTTCTTATGCTAGTATGAGGTCAGGAAATAACCTCTGAAATACTAGAACAGGCTACACTGGGTAGTAATAACTGTGGCTGATAGATTCTGGGAATTCTTATGTAGGGTTTGAGATTCTATATCTGGGAGTGAACATCAGAGCTTAGACTCAGGGATAGTGATCAAGTAAATTTTAGTTTATAAAAATATAAGGTCTCAGCATGTTAGTAATAAACTATTTTTGAGTATTAGTAATTCACCTCTATACTATACCAAGGAATCAGACAGCCAGAATCAAACAATGTTAAGGCCATTTGCAGCTACTGGCCTTAAGGAAAAAAAATTAAAATTTTTAGTAAGAATTGCCATTGAAATCAATTATCCAGAAGTAGCTAACACCCACAATAATGTACACTAACAAACGTTTATATAGTGCTTTGTTTCTTTTTTTGACAATCCTACAATTTTGCTTTTAATTTCAATTGTCCTCAGTCTAAATCATTTTAAAAATAGAAACTAAAGTGTACTTAGTTTCATAAAATATTAAGAAAGTGTTAAAGGGAAGTGACTTAAAGAAGACCTGAATAAAAGTTATACCAAACATATAGGATTCTTCGAGGTTTTCAAAGCAGTAGTACCAATTTTGACTCTCACCAGGGGTATGTGCGAGTTTAGGTTAGCACGCTCTTTGTCTCTGTCTCTGTATCTGTCTCTCTCCATAAGTTACTTTTTCATTCTCTTAATGGTGTCTTTTGATAAATAGAAAATTTTAAGCTGCAATCATTCCATTTCCCCACTTTTTGATTAGCATTTTGGATTTTGATATCCCAATTAGGAAATCCGCCTAATCCAAAATGATCATTTTTTAAAAAAATATTTTCATCTGAAATCTTTGTACTTTCAAACTTTCACAGTAAGGTATATAATCCAAATGTAATTAATTCTTTGCATATAATGTAAGGAAGGGGTCAAGTATATGTGTGTATACGTGTATATACGGGTCTGTTTCCTTGAGTCTCTATTCTGTAGCATTGGTCTGTTTTGTCAGTTCTTGCACTAATAACAGTCTTATTTACTATAGCTTTAAAATAGTTTTCAATATCTGGTAGTCTAATTTCTCAAGCTTTGTTTCTTTTTAGCAAGGATTCTTGACCACTCTTGACCCCTTTTATTTTTCATTTATATTTTAAAATCAGCTTGCAAAATTCTTTAAGAAAAAAAAATGCCTGCTGGTAATTTTTTGCTTTTTGTTTCCAAGCAACTTAAGCTAAGATTATTTATAGGAATACAAAAACATGTGGCACCCCAAAATATAAAAAGCACAATATCTGGCATCTTATCAAAGATTAAAGTCATTCAAAGTAGAAGCAAAAAATGAACCATTTGAGGAGAAAAATTAATCTACACAAACCAACACAGAAATGACAACTTAGCAGAAAAACATATTAAAACAGTTATTATATAACTGTAGCCCATGTGCTGAAAGTTTTGTACAGATAAGGAAGATATAAAAAGACACAAATCAAACCATAGAGATAAAAATTATAATGTCTTGGTGAAAAACACATTGGGTGGAATTAACAGCAGGTTAGACATTACAGAAGAAAAGATTAATGAACTTGAAAATGTAACAATAATCAATTCATAATGAAACACAGAGAAAAAAGAATTTATAGGTGAGCTATGAGACAATTTCCAGCAGTCTAATATGTAATTGGAAATCCCCAAAGCAAATATTTTAAATTTAAATTTCTTTAAAGGATAATCGACCATTTACACCCAAATAACTAGAACATAAGGCAGGGTTTATAATAACCATAAAATGAAAATCTATAGCAACAATAACATAAATATAGGAAGGGGATAAATAAAATCATACATGCTCTTGTAAGGTTTCATAATGTATGCAAAGACACTTAATGGTAGTCTTTGCTAAAATAAAGAAGTATAATGTAAACCATACAACAACCACTAAAAGAGCAAAATTCAGAGTTATAACTAATAAGCCAAAAAAAAAAAAAAAAGAATCGAGTCATAAAAATATTCAATTAATCCACAAGAAGTCATCAAAAAAGGAAAAAAGGTACAAAGAAGAGATGTAACCAATCTAGAACAAGAAGCAAGATAATACAAACAAACGTAACCTCATCAACAATCACATCACGACTAAATATAATAAATGCCCAATTAAAGAACATAGATTGTGATGTTTAACAAAAATTAAATAAATAAAAAAACAGGTGTATGCTGCCTATCAGAAATGCAGTATAAATATAAATACTCAAAATGTAAAAAAATATAAGGATGGAACAAGATATACTGTTCAAAGAAAGATAGAGTAGCTGTATTAATATGGACAAAGTAAATTTCGGAGCGGAGTATATCATCTGAAATAAAGTCATATCCTATGACAAAAGGGCCAGTCTATCAAGAGGGCATAGCAATCATAAATATTGATGTATCTAAAAACAGAGTTCCAAAAAAAAAAAGAAAAAAGAAAAAAGAGAGTAGTACTGATAACACCAAGGTCCAGGGTTAGATCCCTGTACTGGTCGGTTGCCAAATAAAAAAATGATTCAAGACAAACCAAGTGTGCTCTGTTGCCACAGTGGAACTAAATTAGAAACCAATAACAGAAAGATCTGTGGAAAAATATCTCAAGTATTTTGAAGTTAAATAACAGTTTTCTAAACAAATTTGGGGGCAAAGCATAAATCAAAAGAGATATTAGAAAGTGTTTTAAAGTGAATAAAAATGAAAATAAAATATACCAATATATGTAGGATGCCACTGAAGCTGTACTTAGGATGGAAACAGAAGAACAGGGAATAATTCCCTATTAATTCTGAGGCCAGCACTATTACGATACCAAAATCAGACAGAGATATTACAAGAAAAGGAAAACAAAGACTATTATCCCTATGAACACAGACTAAGCAATCATTAAAAATTATAGCATATCACCTCCAAGAATATCTAAAAGGAATAATAAATCATGACCAAGTGGAGTTTCTCTCAGTAAGTCTTAACATTCAAAAATAACCTATGTAATTTACTTTATCAGTTCTAGAATAGGAAAACTATATGCTCATATGTGTAGATGCCCAAAAGACATTTGATAAAGATCCATTTCTCATAAAAACTCATAGCAAATTCCCTTACCTATAAAGGGCATTTATGTAAAGCGTATGGTTAAATAGTTGACTATTTCTACAGGTAGACTGTAGTCAAAGATGCATATTGTATTTCTTAGATCAAACACTAAAAGTGGCAGAAAGAGGGGAAAAATAGTTTTTCCAACAAATGGTGCTAAAAATCCCAAGTATATTGACATGGAAAAAATAGTGTATCTCAATCCTTATCTTGTTCCATAAACTATCTGTGGGCGAACTACAGCCCATGAGCCAAATCTGGCCCCTGCCTGTTTTCACACGGCCCAGGAGCTAACAGTGGTTTTTACATTTTGAAATAGTTGAAAGAAAATAAAAACACTAGTATTTTGTGACATATGAACTTTATAAAAAATTCAAAGTTTGGTATTCATAAATAAAGGTGTCATAGAACATAGCAACACTTATTTGCAAATTGTTTAAATTTGTAAATGTGGTTATTTTTCTACTATAATGACAGAGTTGAGTAGTTGAGACGGAGACTGCATGGTGCACAGTCTGACCTTTTACTATCTGACCCTTCACAGAAAACATTTGCTGACCCTTTCCATAAACAAAAATAAATAAAATATGGACCAAAGTTCTTGATGACCAAAAACTAGAACTCTAAAGCTTCTGTAGGAAAACACAGCAGATTCTCTTTATGACCAAGATATAGGCAAATATTTCTTAAAGTGGACAAAAAATACTCTAACCATTAAAAAGTAAACTGTTCTTTATCAAATTAGAAAAACATATTCATCAGGGAAATCAAAACGAGTTACCACCTCATCCCAGTTAGAATGGCCATTATCAAGAAGACAAAAGGAAACAAGCGCTGGCAAAGATGTGGAGACAAGGGAACACCTGCACACTGTTGGTGGGACTGTAGCTAATACAGCCATTATGGAAAACAACATGGAGGTTCCTCAAAAGATTAAAAATAGAACTACCGTTTGATTTAGTGGTTTTATTATTGGGTGTATATTTAAAGGAAATGAAGTCAGTATGTTGAAGAGATAGCTGCACTCCCATGTTTATTACAGTACAACTTACAATAGCCAAGATGTGAAATCGATCTAAGTGTCCAACAACAGATGAATGAATAAAAAAGTGGTATACATACACAATGGACTACTATTCAGCCATAAAAAAAGAATGAAATCCTGTCACTTGCAGCCACATGGATGGACTTGAGGACATTAAGTGAAGTAAGCCAGGCACAGTAAGACAAATACCACATGATCTCGCTCATATATGGAATCTAAGGGGAAAAAAAGATATAGGGGCAGAGAATGGAAGAGCCCTTACCAGAGACTGGAGTGGGAAAGGCTGGTGGGGAGGGGGGCGAGAGGGGAAGGCAAACAAGGACAGGCTGGCCAACAGGTACAAAATTATGATGAGATAGGAGGAATGAGCTCTGGTGTTCTATTGCACGGTGGGGGGACTATGGTAAACAGTTCAGTTTTGTATTGATGGAGTCTGGATGTGTCGTCCCCTCCAAAACTGATGTGGAAGTTTGATCCCCAATGTGGCAGTGTTGGAAACTGATTGAGTCATGGGGGCGGATCCTTTATGAATGGATTAGTGCTCTCCCTGGGGGAGGGGGGATTAATGAGTGAGTTCTCGCTCTACTAGTTCTCACAAGCGCTTATTGTTTTACAGGACCCTGGCACCTCCTCTCTCTCTCTCTTGCTTCCTCTCACCATGTGATCTGCTTGTACCCACTGGCTGCTGCCACTTTCCGCCATGAGTAGAAGCAGCCTGAGGCCCACGCCAGATGCAGCTGTCCCAGAATCGTAAGCCAAATAAACCTCTGTTCTTATAAATTACCCATTCTCAGGTATTTCTGTTATAGCAACACAAAACGGACCAAAACAGATATATTACATAATAGCCAGAGGAGAGGCTTTTGAAGGTTTTGCTGCAAAGAAATGATAAATGCATGTGATGACTGGTACATTAACTGCCCTGACTTGATTGTCATACAGCATATAGATGTATCAAAATATAAGATTGTACCCCTTAAGTATGTATTATTACAATGTATAAGTTAAAATAAAAATGAAATAAAATTTGAAAAAATGTTCATCAAAAAATACCATTAAGGAGAAATATATATATATATATCTCAGAAAGTGGTCGTAACCGTATTATAAAGAATTCCTACAAGTCAGTCATAAAGAAGCAAAACAAATCAATAAAACAAGAGCAAGAGTGTTGACGGTGTTCAAAAAAGGAGAATATATAAGCAGGCAGTTTTCTGCTCATGACACTGATGAGTTTATTTCCCCAGCTGCTTAGGTTTTTGGCTGTCAGAACACCAGTGTCAGCCCCTCCAGGAATTACCTTCAGTTAAAGTGAGCATTATCCCCAGTCCCACCCCATTCCTACCCTTTCTGAAGGATCTACAGGAGAACCTGTTTTCCTGTTCTCTTTCAGGTTCTAGAGGCCTCCACTGCTCCTGGCTCAAGACCCTTTTCCATCTTCATAGCCAACCACAACTGGTCGAGGCTTTTCTCATGCTGTGTCACTCTGACTCTTTCTCCTTTTTCTTGCATAGTTTAAGGCCCTTGTGATTACATCGGGCCCACCTGAGAAATCCAGGACACTCTCCTTATATTAGTGACCGGTGATCAGCATCCTTAATTCCACTGGGAAGTCTAATCCTCCCTTCCTATGTAATTTAATCCATTCACAGATTCTGGGGACTAGACATGGTCATCTTTGGAGGCCCATCGTTCTGCCTAACCCACTGAGTAAGAGACAGGAAAAACAATGTTCTGATAACAGATAGGAAATCAGTGTTCTTTTTGAAAAGAGAACAATGACCACAGTTTTATATTTTGGGTCCAACACATACTACAAGGGGAAAGATCCCAAAAGGAAAACAGGCACCTCGGGTAAAACAAGGCAGCCTGCATACTATTTGCTGTTTAAAATGAGCATGTACTCCCAGGTCCAGGAGACTCAGCAGTGAGCCTCTGTGCCAACAGCTAAAATATAGATTTAATCTGTGTTTTCTTCTTTGCTCGTAAGTAATTCAATTGACCAACCCAAGAAACAGAGGCTTCTCTGCTCTACATAACCTCTATCCTGAGAGGAAGTGAGTTTTCAGGGGAACGGAGGGGTGGGGTTCGGGAGTGGGGGGGGTCAGGTCTCTTTTACAGGGAAACAGCCAGGTGTTAATGGTTTCTTTAAAAATTGAGCTTTTCTAAGGTTAAGAATAAAATGTAAATTAACTTGAGCATTTTATTTGCAAATTTTTAAGAACAAGACAATCTTTGCTGGTTTCTTGGTGGGGATAGAGAATATGGGAGATTCTGTGCTATGGGCTTTGGGAATTCAGAACAGCTAAAGGATGTAAAACTCAGAGAGGTCTTTTATTACAAGAAAGGGTTTTCAAATTGAATCAGTTTTCAGGGCGTCTGATCAGCCCCTGTATCCCTAACAATGCAGTTGACATCCCTGTTCTTCCTGGAGAGCTCAGAGGCCACCTCCTAACTGACGGGTGAGTTGAGAATATGCATATGACCAGGAGCATCGAGCTACCAGTGACAGGAACATGAGAGTTTGCAGAAAAGGTGGCTTCAGTAGGACAAGGAATTCATCTCTAAGTACTTGTAGTTAGAGGCACAGGTGAGTACAGTTGGCAGGCTCTCAGATGAGAGATTCTATAGAGAAGTGATTCGAAATAGATATTATCCAAAAATTCTACAGGGAGCACTGGATGTGTAGATCTGTATCTCAGGTCAATTACAGTTGAGTTCAGTCTGGCCCTATTCATCTCCCAGAGGTGCAGCCTCCTCTGAAAGGAACTTTCAAGTTGGGGGTGGTGGCTCATTCTGTGATATCATGACAGGTGCATTTCCTGGACATAAAATGTCCCAAAACTCACTTCTCTGCTCATGCTCACAGAGGCCCTATACTGCGACAATCCACATCTGCTCTTACCCTGTCATGTGCACCCAAACCCTCTGCTGTGTGGCCCTCTGTGTCCTGGTAGCGAGTGAGTCCTCAGAGTGTCAGGCATCCTCATGTGGGCTTCCGTCCTAATGGCTCTTTGTATCTTCCTCCTTCTGTCCCTCAATTCTGTCTTCTTTTACAGAGCACACAGATGCTGGGTCATCCAGATACCGAGGCATGAGGTGGCATTGATGGGACAAGCAGTAACTCTGAGATGTGAGCGAATTTCAGGTCACAACAGTCTTTTGTGGTACAGACAGACCTTGGTGCAAGGCCTGGAGCTGCTGATATCCTTCTGCAACCAGGCTCCCATGGATGACACAGGGATGCCCGAGGAATGATTCTCAGCTCAGATGTCTGACGCCTCAGTCTCCACTCTGAAGATCCAGCCCACAGAACCTGGGGACTGTGCCGTGTATCTCTGTGCCAGCAGCACCGACACAACGCTGCAGGATCCCACCCTCCCTCTGCACAAACCCTGGTGCTTCGTCTTCTCCTTCCAGCTCCCAGCAGTGCTAAGTCTTCCCTGCTCCTTCTTTCTGTGGGAAATAAATGGGGCATAACAAAGACAGAAAATAAGTCATCAACATCGAGAACATTGTGCAGGAAATAATGTAGGAAATGAGTTTTGTGTATCTCTCACAAATTGTTGGCCACTCACACACATGCAAGATAAACCCTAATTACCCACACTGTAGTGTTCCTGCCTTCCTGCCTTTGTCATCCCTGTCTGAAAGGTGCAGCTCCAGACAACAGCCACGTCTTCTGAACCACTTGGGCCTCTCCAATCTCTTCTCACTCTGACCTCTGAATAGAGCTTACCCCCCAAAAGTTTTCTTTACTACAATTGTGGACATTCCTTTATAATGCTAATTTCAACTGTGCATTTATGTAGAAATCTTTCATTACACTAGAAGAATGTGTCACATATGGGTAATGCAGGCAGTTTAACAGTTTAGACATCAGCCACCAAACCTGGAGTCTTGGGATCCATTTATCTCCATCCTGCATGAGGAAAGCCCAGTGGGAGCTGAGGGCTTGTGTGGACTCAGGTTCTGATGAGGGCTCCTCAGCTGCCTGCTCTGGAACCATCAGTGTGGATCCATGTTGGGATATCTACAGCACACAGGCCACCCAGTCTCACTTGACCTCTTTTCTCAATGATCCTATGTCCTTAACACCCAGATCTATATTTTTCTTCTGATTTATGCCATAAATTCTCACATAATGCCTGGGATCCATTCTAAATTGTTACAATTTCTCTCTTCTTTATATACTAATGACTTCTCAACCCCTGTCAGTATCACTGGCAACTGGTGTAAAAAGTGCTGGTATTTTGAGTGCCTGAGGCAGTTCAGGGTTACCTGAGTTCTTTCTTATAGCCAAATACACTCCTCATTTCCTGTTTTTTGTCATACACCTGGATGGATGAAAAAGTCCCTGACTTTCTAGATGAAAACCGTGCAGAATGAAAGTCAGTTCTTTTTGAATGTACAGCAAGAGACAGCATGTGTCCCTATATATGGTCTTGGTATGTTCCTTCTCTTTCTGGATCCTCTCTGCTGCTTACAGATCATTTTCTTTTCTTCTACATCACAGCCCAGCCCCTTTATACACACGACATTAGAATGTCACCCTCTATTGCTGCACTTCCTCACTGCCAGATGCTCTTTTCATTCAGTCCTACTGCCACCACTAATCAAAAAATAATTGTTTAGAGCTGCTGTTCTGGGCTGAACTAGTGACAGACCATGGATGGTTAGTACGATCTTTTGGTAATTTCAACTTATCCTTAGAATCTTTGGCCAAAACTGCTTCTGGAGAATCAAGGGGTCATAGATGAGGGTCAAAGAGGTTCAGAGCCTAGAAATGGCTAGGATGTATTTAACTAACCTGAGGGTTTCAAAGGTAATAAATATCAAGGTCTTCAATTTATTTTTAAAAATTATATGAAATTATATATGACAGCCAAGCTATGCACAATAAGGAAATTGACACGTCTTTTCTTGAGATGGAATTACACTAAAGTTCTATGAAACTAACTCACAGACTCATCTCATGCTGAAACTCTCATCAGAAACTCTGATAGGCAGTTCTGTATATTACAATAATGAGAAAATAAATTATTACTTTATAAAAACTATTTTTCAAATTAACTTTTTCCCAGTGTGGGGGTAAAACATCAAACTCTGCCCAACTTTGGTGGTGAAAGGAATGGAAACAAGGGGCTTGCAGAGGCCCCGTCCCAATCACTCTCCTTTTCTGGGCCCAGATCCTCTGATGTTCATCTGCTCAGGGAAAGGGAAGTGAGGCCGTGCAGGGAAAGTGCTGGTCCAGGACACCATCAGCTCTAGGGCTTGAGGGGAGGGTCCAGGAAAGAGTAGGGGGTTGGCAGAGCCTGTGCTGAGTGGCTCACAGGCATGCATGGGGTTAGCAAGCACCTTGCTGGGATAAGCTGTGCATTGAGGGCTTCCTGTTGTTTTCTTCAACAGATAATTGTTTTATGAAATGCCCTCCACTTCCTGTCTCTTCAGTTGTGGCTGCTACTTCTCTTACCAACCCTGGGTTCCACCCAAGGCAGAAACAAGGCCCCAAAGTCTCACCAGCTGCACTCATGAGAGCCAAGATAAGAAAACCCTTCATGGCAGGCTGTGATCGCGCCAGGAGGAGACCAGTTGATCAAGCTGTAAACTGCCCCAGTCTTTAGTCCAGGTGCCCTGGCAAGAACACTAACTGTGGGGTGAGGAGCAAAACAAGGATCCCACAGCGGTCTTCAAACTAGTTCTTATCAGGACCCGTTTATACAAGACTTCACTGGGAGCTGCCTTTGATGTGGGTGAAAGAGAGGAAGGACCAGACCAAGTGAAGGTCCTGGTGCCTCCTAACTGATCCCAAAACACCGGGTGAGGAGCAAAACAAGGATCCCACAGCGGTCTTCAACTAGTTCTTATCAGGACCCGTTTATACAAGACTTCACTGGGAGCTGCCTTTGATGTGGGTCAAAGAGAGGAAGGACCAGACCAAGTGAAGGTCCTGGTGCCTCCTAACTGATCCCAAAACACCCCCCAGGAGTCATTATTTAGATGCTGACATTTTCCCTTCCCTCTCTGTGACATGGTGTTTCTTTGCTGTCCCCTGACCCCTTATGTGGATGAAAGAGAGGAAGGATCAACAACAGTTATATCATCAAGATGGTGAAATAGACGATTCCAGCATTGCTCCTCCCCACAAGTAACCAATTCACCACTATTAAAAAGCAAAGACTGCCAGCCTGGGACCGCTGGAGCTGGGGAAAGAAAAAGAGAGACCAACAGAGTTCATGAAGGCAGGAGAGGCCACAGTGAGAGGGTGTAGTGAAAACTATGCATTCAACAGGGGATTAACATCCAGAGTACACAAAGAACTCAAACAACAGTAAAATAATAATAATAATCCAACTAAAAAGTGGGCAAAGGACCTCAATACACCTCAATACACATTTCTCAAAGAAAGACATTCAAAAGGCCAATAGGTACTTGAAAAAATATTCAACATCATTCAGCATCAGAGAAATGCAAATGGAAACCCCATTGAGATATCATTTCACTCCGATTAGACTGGCTATTATCAAAAGACTGAGAATAACAAATGCTGACAAAGATGCAGAGAAATGGAAACCCT